ACATAAATTAATATGACTTCTTTTTCACAATTACAAATTAGCATTACATCAAAAAAATTAAGCCTTTATACATTAAATAAAATTACTTCTAAAAAATATAAAAAGTATATATATAAAAATACTCAATAAAACATACTAAATAAATTAATCTTTTAAAGAAATTCAATACTAAGATAATTACAATAAAAATAAAACATTCTAGAGACATATGTACTAAAACTGGTACCTTTACGTAATAAAACCAAATACACCACCGGCCGGCCATGACAAATTATGTACAATTCAATTAATTACTCATTCTTAAATACCAAGAATAATACATTGGAAGAGAAAAAGCAGATAATAGAAAGACAAAATGCAGATATATATAACACTGAATTAAAAATATATATATATATATATATAGATGCACAAAATGAACACTTACCTCAACAGCAGCAATGAGATCTGACTTCCATCACCTTCACTTTAGACCCAACAGTACACCCTCTGTAGTGGCAGTGGATCACCACTTGGCTGTTGTGTCATTCCTGATGATTGCTCTAGCTCACACTAAGGTTTGCCTGGCTTGAATCAGCTCTGTCAGCAGCTGGTGGTGTTATTGCAGTAGATCTTCTTCCCAGTTATACATGGTACAGGCTTTTTAGTGGCCATTTTCTGACATGGTTACATTAACAATTGAACTTACATCACTGTCAGGACTATGGTGATGGAGGTGGGTGGGTTCATTGGCATGTCAACCATCAGCTGCAACTGAGGCAATTCTCAGGACCTCTTGGTCATTGGCCTCACATTTAACATTACCAGTAGTCCAGTGATCCCTGTGACATTCCTGGCAAGGCAAGCCATAAGAGTGAAACCCCTTTGTTTACCTGGAAAGTCCTTGTCTTTGTTATTGGTGGTGGTGGTAATGTGGGAAATGAGGTCTTCACAGTCAGCTGGTTCCAAGGGTGTGATAGCTGCCACTGCAAATGTTAATGGTGGTGCTGGTTGAGTCGTGGACAACATCTTTCCCTGCCTCCCAGCATTCAGTTGCCCTTTGGGACAATCTCAACTCTCAGAGGTCTCCTCTGGCTTAGAGATGTAGCGTTACTTGCTGAGGTGGGTGCATGCCCACTACTTTTGGCTCATTATTTATAGACATCTTATAATGGAACACTTAAGGAGGGGTTCTTGATGCTGAAGTGCCCACCAATTCTCTTTCTTGCTACCAATGTTTTGGCAGCTGGCTGCCATGTCTGAGCCACTGATGAACTTGGTACCACTGGTAAAGAGGTGGTGCTTGGCTGATCATTGGTTGGCTCCACCACTCTGTCCAATGAGGCCTAGAACTCTTGGGTCTGCTTGGCCCCAGACTTTAGAATCAGTTAGGTTCCAAATGTCCAATGCATCAGTTGGCAATGCCTCTTTTACTATGGATTTTACTGGGTGGAATGTCAGGCTAGATCCAGGTGTCTTTGGATCAGTAGGGAAATCTAGCTCCTTGCCAAACAGAAAGTCCTGGATGCCTATTGTTATTTGCCAAACTTCTTTTTTTCCATAATTGTTTGATAATACTTGAAAGCTTCAGCACACTAAAGAATTGAACACCACTGACTAGTTGGAGAATATGACAGCCAAAATGGTCAAGAATTTGATCTTAAACAGTAAAAGGCCAGATTAAAAATACAAGGTTGGGTGAATACCAATTAGTCAGAAGGTCAGTCTAGTGTGTAAGTTGAAAAAAGGTTATAACTGCCTGGTTACACCCATTACACCCCTCCCAAAAATTTACCTTTAGAGGTAATCAACAGATTACTATTGTCAAGTGACATTGCTATGGGGTTCACATGTGCTCATACTCTAATCGCCTATAGAAAATGTATGCCTAGTGTCTGTGAACTTCTTAGTCCACTGGCTTCATTGTGTCTTGCTTGACCAATAGCATATTAGTTGTACCCCTCAACAGCAGTAATGAGGTCTGACTTCCATCACCCTCACCTTAGACCCAACAGCACACTCTCTATAGTGGTGGTGTATCACCACTTGGCTGCTGTGGTGTCCCTGATGATTGCTCTAAAACAATGTAATGTATTTTGACAATGACAAACATGCTTTGCCCTCAGCTTAGATCCAAACTCTCCAATATTATCTGGACATAAACAGCACTCAGTTCCAATAAAAAAAGAATGAAGTCAAGACTACAAAACTGGTTCCTACATAGAAGCTGGCTCAGGTTAGGTGATGCCAACCTTTACTTTTGATCATTAGAATCCACTAATATTTATACTGTCATTCCTTATTTTTCTAAGTAATACACATTCTTCATTTGATTTAAATCTATTTTAATATGAACTATTTCATTTGGACTTTTTATTTTCTCCTGTTCTTTTTTTATACTCATATTCTTTACTCATATTATTACAGATTATATCATATTTCTGATGTAATTATCATTTATGTTGGTTTCATATCTCTCTAGCTTACTGAAGGTGGAATTCTAAAAAGTCTAATAAATGTTTCATGTAATTATGTTCATCTTTTGCTTCATTCTTAAGTTATATTTTTTCCAAAAAATTAAATGATTGCATTATTATGTGTAAAAAAAATATATATATATAAAAAATCCAAAGGCACAAAAATAATTATTTACACATATTGTGTTTATTTCAACGTTCATATGATATAACACTATCTAATAAGCACAATCCAAAAACCTTATTATGGGATTTGAGGATGAAAATATTGTATACATTTCATTTAAAATTTCAAATATATGTAGATATTACTGCCAGCAATGTCTGAATCTGAAAGGTATCAGCTTTCATTTATTATGACTTTATATGAACAGCAACTTTGTATCAGTAATGTATTTTGAAAGTATCTATAATATTAGTAACAAAAAAACTTATTTTAGTTGGAAATTAATTTAAGTTTTGATTTATTAGTATGCATAAATAGTCAAAATGTTGGTTTTTCATTAGTGATATCAGATATTCAAAGGACCACATAATGTTTTTTTGCAATAGAATTTATAGTATTTTAGAAGGCATCTAATACCACAATCAGATATATATTTCCTTACATTATGAATAAATCAACTGTGCAAACATGAAAAGAAATGGTGATTATAAAGAAAGTTTTTGTAGCTAATTATGTCATATCTCACAAACAGTATGGCACAGGAAGGTTAAATTTGCACAGGGGTGTTAAGGATATCAAGTGGATACAAAAGCCAAAGTTGTCATATGATGCCATTAAGAGCACCACCATGATCTAATGTCTGATCAATCACAACAATTGTTCAAAATGTGCTCCTCTACCATCTGGAATGCATTTCATTCGTGTGACAATGAATATCATACCAAATCCACACATCTCATCTGGTATGCAAACAATTGCATCCTTGAGGTCTTGAAATTGTACAAGGTTCCCATGATATATGTATGACTTCAGACAGTCCAACAAATAGAAATCAGCTAGTGTCAGGTCCATTGAATGAAGTGGCAACTCACAAGAAGAGAAATGTGAAATTATTCCGTCTTGAACAGGCTCCTGCAGGATATATTCCAACTTGGTACCAATATGTGGAGAAGCACAACCCTGCATGAAAACCGTAATGTCCATCATATTTTGTTCCTGCAGCAAAAGAATAACATTGGTTGTGAGTATTGCACATCCTGCAGGTTTGCACTTCACATGTTGATGGGTATTCAAAATGATATGGTCCAGTAATAAAGTCAACTGTGAAACCACACCACCCCGTCACCTTAGCGTCACGGGGGTGTTTAGGAAATGTTACATATGGATTCATTTCTGACTAGATAATGCAGTTGGATGTGTTGACAATTCCAGAATGAGTGAAATGTGCGAGATCAGTCAAAACTATATTGGTAGGGGAGTGGTCATCAACTCCCAGTCTTGTCAATAACTGCAATGCAAAATCAACAAGGGTTAAATTCATCTTTTAAAATACTTAAACATGATGCAGCATGCCAGGAAACATTTTCAATGTTGAATGAAGAGCACAGTGAACAGTTGAAATTGGCAAATCCTGACACAGGACAACATAACATCCACTGCTTCACCCATGTGTACTTGAGCTGGCTTGTTGTGACCTCAGTGATAGCTTCGGTTAAGTAGATGTTAGTGACCTTTTTCTATGTGGCTTATCACAAACCCAACCTATCTTCTCACATGTTCATAATATAAAAATAATGATTTTACTCTCTGAATTTTATCTTCTCTTTTAATATCTTTATCTTTAAATATATTTAAAAATTTTATCATTTAACTTATCTATCTTGGAAATCATCTAAATACTAGTTGAGAGTATGAATTTATATTGTACAAATATATATAGATCTGAATTACAGTATATATGCTCCAAGTCTAAACTGAACTGGTGGGAAAAAGTTTCTGGAATCATACCGTGTTAGCACAGTGCATCACCTTGGGCTTCATCTTTGCAAGTTCCACTCTCAACTGGTATATTTGTTGACTTAACTGATCAATTTCGTCATCCTTGTCTTTCAAAAGCATCTTGGCATAATGAGAAAGAAGTGTATTCTTTCCTCTGGCCTCAACTCTGTCTACTGCAGCCTGAAAATGACACAATAGAAACATTCATAGCATATATCATACTAAGTGTAGACCAAACTGCAGATCTTAATATGAGCCAATAGTAAAATTGAAATATTTTAAAAACCTGTGGGATTATGAGAGTGGATAACGTCTTTAGGTTTTCAGTCTCAGGCAGGGCTCTATACTCCCTTTTCAGTATCAAAAAATATCAATTAAATTTCTTGATATATAAAGAAGTTAAATATCAGCACAGTCATCTAACAAAAACTTGACTATTAAAATAAATAGAGGATATGGTAAAGAAAAGGTTTAGGAAATATTATTATGCCTAAACAAAACTTATAATAAAAATTCACTATTATTATGAAGTCATAGTATTATAGTTAAAGGAAAAATATACATTGGTCAAGCATATTGGCCTACTTCTTTTGACATTAATATAAATCAGACATAATTATGTGAATCACATACACTTACATTGGAATTTTCACTGCCACCTTTTGGGATAAGCCATCTTGTTAGCTGGCTAGTTTGGTGCTTTATGATAACATGAGCCATTTTAAGCCTGATGCCTGTAATAGTATAAACTTAAAACTCAATAAATTACTAAGTTAAAACACATAAGTTTATGCCTAATAATAGTTTTGGTTTATTAAAAACGTGAGATGCATGGCAAAGCTTAGGATATGACCCAAAATTTTCTTTTTTAAAATTGAAACTAATAGTTTTTCTGATTTTCTGGAAATTATGCTGCAAATCCTAACAAGGAGTAGCCATGTTTAAAATAAACTCATGAAAACAGTTACAAATGTTCTATTTTGTCCATACCACTGCATTCTTCATGCTAAGCACCTGCACAATAATGTCTTAGAATATAAGAATCCTATAAATATACCAACAATACTGTTGTAACCAACAAAATGTAGCTAAGAACTAACAATACCATACCAAAACTTGAAGAAAAATTAGTTCACTTCTAAGAATAGCAAATGATTAAGTACTCCACTTTTTAACACCGTATTCAAAATTCTTGCAACCCTCATATTTTTTTAATTTCCCTGAATGTTGATTAATGTCAAAAACAATTCAAATAAAAAGTACAATTACGTTATGTGCAATGAAACCTAAATGACGAGTAATTAGAAAAATGCAAAAATAATGGTTTATTCAATTATTATTAATAGTTTTGTTCACTCAAGTGTAAATTTCAGTGAAGAGATAAAGTAGAACCCAATCTTTGATTCGCTACTTTCTCGTTTCCTCGAATATACAACTCATCACTTATATTGGAAAGATAAAGAAAATGAATAAGTTAAACCTTATATACTATAACTATAGTGGTGGAATATATGCAAATTTGCTTGATCTAGATTTGTAGACCGTGTTACTCATCACTAATAACGTTAAATAATTTAGGTGTTTGAATAACATTATTTCATAGACAAACAGGTTGTTTTAAATGTTTCACCAATTTCTTTTCTTCCACAAAACGCGAATTTCTGTGAAGCTAGAAAAAAGTGAAGTAAAAGTCTAATTTATTCTTTGATTCGCTAATCTTGCTGCAACATACTAGTTTCAGTTAATAACGCTGCACTACTTAACGATTAGTCGTTTTCACAATCGATTAATATTTGAGTAGCACACGCCCTCTGTACCCCTTCCCATACAATAATAATAATAATAGTAATAAAAGGTGTGTTCTACCTAATTGCCCCCCAGTGGCACAGCGGTATGTCTGTGGACTTACAACGCTAGAAGCCGGGTTTCGATACCTGTGGTGGGCAGAGCACAGATAGCCCTTGTGTAGCTCTGTGCTTAATTGAAAAAGAAAAAAAAAAGAAAAGAATCTATCTAATTTTCGAAATATCCTTGGTTTTGGTAGGCCACATCTGAAGGTCGTTATATGCACATTTTGCAAAAACATATATTTTTGTTTAAAAAATAATTTTCCACAAAGTTTTCTAAAAATAACCTGGACATTTTCTATTTGGCGGATAAATCACTAATGTTGACCTAATAACTCTATGTATCGGTGTTTTAGTCGTGTTTTACTCTTTCTCTTTCTCCTCAACACTATGCAATCGGCATTATTTTTGTTTATAAAATATGCGGTAATAATACGCTGATTTTCTGTAAATCAAATAAATTGATCACTGAATAATGAAAATATGTTTTACTATTACGATAAGGATTATTTTTGTTTGTTGGTTGGTAAGTACAAAGCTGCACAATTGGCGATGTGTGCTGTGTTCACCGCGGGAATCGAAACCTGGATTTTAACGTTATAAACCCACTGACTTACCGTGCTGATCTACTGGGTAGCTTTCTTCAGATTAAAGGCACAATAATACATAATTAGGTTATTTTTTAATCCCAAACTTTGTACATGAAAATATATCATACGCGCAACGTAATTGCATTGTTTAAAATTAGAAACAATAAAATATTTATTCACTTATCAGTCATTTGTTGCAACTCACCAATTTCTAACCCAAATTATTTGAATATGTGAATATAATTCTGGCTGGGCCAAAGTTAATATTCGGACCAAGTGTTTGATGTTATTACAGATTTCTTTTCTTTTCTTTAGGTTACTAGATAGTGAATTAAGAAGGACTCAAAAAGTCTATAAATATTATAAGACCTTCACCATTATAAGAGACTGTTACGTCTCCGTTTGTTAATTGATTTTTCCGTAACTTCGTTCTGACGAAACTTAAGCGACACAAGTCTTTACTTAAATAAAACTAGTTTATTCTTTCTCAATACAACTTTGAAAAACACTTAATTTCCACAGTCACTCTAACTTTAACATACGCTATAATTCAC